ATCATCATCATCATCATGGGTTTTACGTTTGTTTGTACCTAAGGACTGTTATGGGCTTGAAGTAACGATGGTTGTACAAGGCGTTAAGTTGATCTTCATCCCAATAATGCCAGGTCACATGAAGAGACTAGACATAAGGTACGGTACTTTTCATTGTTTTCTTCTTTAGCGGGGGTTCATCTTCACCACAGATTTTCGACTGGTTGACTCAGTTTGAATGCCATTTAGACTTTAGCATCGTTTCACACTTAATCTTTGAAATGATACTAATTTTATTTTAATAATAAACAAATAGATCAGGCTTAGCTATATTTTGTTCTTTTTTTTTGTGCGTGTGTTCTACAGCTCCAGACGTGTTTTATCAGAAAACAAATCACCGTTAAGCCTGATCTATTTGCTTTATATAATAGATTTTCCCGCACGAGCATAACAGAGTCAGTCCACTTACCAGTTGTTCTTTTTTTCTGTTTGTTTGTACATCTGGTTGGTTGTTGTGTTTTGTTTGTTTTGTTTTTGTTTCTGTTTGTTTGTTTGTTTTTTTGTCAATAGAATAACAGTTCTGTGTGTGTCAGAGGTGGCTTGGCAGGGAGATATATCTAATTTGTTTGGTTTCTAAGTTCTAATGCTTTTACATTTTCTTATCAGAATGACGGATTTGGTCAGAGCAAGTCCATCTCAGAAGTACATTAGTCTAACTGTATCGTTTGCGTCTACTATTGACAAAGAAGATGATGTAGCAGGACCACCAATACGGTATTTTCTTTACTGAATCCTGTGGTCGTCTATCGTATTCGTAGTTGGACAATCCAAAAGAATAGATGATAAAAAAGCTCAAAAATCRATGTTTCATCCTACTATATAATCGCAAATGGTGGAGAACATTCCTATTGCGACGGACAGATGTTTTAATATTTTCTAGACAATGTCACAGAAAGCCCAAGCAAAGTATTCTCGTGCCTCATAAAAAGGAATAWATGTGGATTTGTATATTGTACGAATATATTTAACAAATAAAAAAGCTTTTTCCATGCTCCGTTCAGTAATAAAGCACGTAGGAAGTGACGTAACGCAAAAGAAGTGTGAGCCGTAGGCGTGCTCGAATGGCGTGAGCACTGTGCTCCATTCCTTTATACAACACAGTTTTCGACCAATCAGCGCGCGCATACCATCCTAACTACAGTGGCCAAAGTCTTTGAACCTTTGATTTGGAGCTAAAAGCTTAGGTGGAGAAATTATAGATGTTCTTCGATGAGTTCGCGCTTACTCATTTAATTTATGCGAGCACAACAGGCAGTTTGACAATTTCTCTCACGACTTCATATCCACTGCAAAACCGAATTTTCTTGACCATATTCGACAGGGGAATAATTTTCAACAAGAAATTTCCAGCTGCAATACTGCTATCTAGTATTTTTAACACCTTCCTAGGGGGTAGGCCTGTTCATATGTTTATGCACTACTTTAAATTTATTCAATTATTTACATTTTTAAAATTTCCTAATCTCCAAAACATCACTATTGATTTATTCATGATTTTCATTTATATATTTTTATGTAATAATCGTAATAACTGATATTTAAAATTTAAAATCTTGTGCGGGAGTCATTTATGACAAGGCGTTCCTGATCATTCTTTSACAAACCGAGTGGGGATTGGGACCWATACGGAAATYCTTTTGTGTTATTTTTTTCTTTTCATCRAAGCTTGTCTTTTTGCTCTGAATATTCTCCAAAAAGAAAGATTTTGGACTACGTTATCGGAAAGAAGCATTTCTTTACTAAACCAGTGGATTAAAATGGTACAACAATTCAACGTTTTGAAGTGTTTTTCGTGTAAAAGATTTTCAAGTTCATCAAGTGAGTTATCTTTAATGCTGAAGCACTGGCCTATTTTTTGAATTAAATTAAACTAAAGCAAATCTAAACCTGCACATTCCTGCAGTTTTWAAATGCAAAGTTCTAGGTGGAAACTAGTTCTGATTACAAAACGAGGGGGCACAGGGAACTTTTGTATTAGCAAGTTCACCATTTATAAGTCSCAAGTTGAAAAATTCTAGTTCAACCCTCAGGTTCTTCCAAATATATGTACAACAAGAAAGCTTTGCTATGGCTATGGAATATGGAATATGGATGATACCCACAGTGATGATGTTTGTGATTATGACATTGTTGAAACAATCAGAAAATTAGAAAATCCATAATTATGTCATTTCGTCCATCCTCTATCCTTCCCTTCCTCCCTCATTTCTTTTATACTTTTGTCATTATCTCCCTCCTTTCACATATATATATTTACAACATACAACACTCAACTCACATGTTGCTTTTTCAGGAGGGAGGGAACTGGAGATCCCGGATAAAGTGCTCATGGCAAGGGAGAGAACATCATATCAAACAAACTCAACTCACACATGACCCAATCTGAGCCAGTATGCAATAAAGCTTTGATTATAAATGACTTTATTATTGAAAATGATATTGAGCTGCTATGTTTAACTGAAACTTTGTTGAATACAAATAATTCAAACTTACAATTGATTATAAATGAATTAACTCCTAAAGGCTATCTTTTTCACCACATGCCCAGAAAATCTAGGTCTTAAGGTCTTTCACGGTCTTACATAATTAGACTCCTTCCTACTTATGTGACTTGTTGGTTCCTTATGTTCCATCACGTTCCTTACGATCAGTGTCTCAGAATCTTTTAGTAAGGCAATCTTACMACCTGAAACAGTATGGTAGAGCCTTCTCTAATGTGGCTCCTGAACTGTGGAACAATCTACCACAGAACATTAGATCCTCTGTTTCAATATCACAGTTCAAGCAAAGGGTTAAAACCTGGCTTTTTCAACAAGCAT